TGCTGAGTGTCTCTTCCCTGTGGCTGCCTGGCAGTCTGTCTGTCCACCCCTCCTGACCGACACCTGGCGGTCTGCACCTTGGTGATGGTGGTGCTGCTGTGAGCACGCACACACGTATTGCTTGCGTGTCTGTGTTTGAGTCTTCCACATGCGGTGCAGTTGCCGGCCGTTTGGTCTCGGTTCACCGTCTCGAGGAACTGCGGACTGTCCCAGGATGGCCGCACCAGTTTACACTCCGGCAAGGGGCCGGCCCGAGTCCTGGCCCGGGGGCACCTGAGCAGCCCCTTCCCTGGCTTACACTCCCAGCGAGGGACAGGTTCAAGTCCTGGCCCAGGGGCACCTGAGCAGCCCCTTTCCTGGCTGGCACAGGCTCTCAGCGCAGGAACCCCAGGGCGGGGCTTGGGAACAGCGCCCCCTGGTGGCTCTGTGGCGCTCAGCATGGCGCCCAAGGGCCAGGCACATCCCCTGAGAGCTGACGCCACCTCCCCTCACCTCGCTTTCCTTACTTGGGAGCGGAGCTCCTGGACCCTGGCTGCAGGCTGTGCAGGGTACCTGGAGCAGACCGGTGGCTGGGTGCCTCCCACTGCTGCCGCGCACTTCGGGATGAAGAAGGCCTTCCAGGTCTGTGTCCTTCAGCGCCACATGACCCGGTGTGGCAGTGCGGACTGGAGGGAGAAACGAAGCAGGCTTCTACCGCCACGGCAGTAGGGGTGGGGCAGGGGCGAGCCAGGTAGGTGAGACAGGAGTGTCTTGGAGCAGTCCCTCCTCAACAAGGATCAGCGGGGAATGAGTGGCTGTAGCCACCCCCACGGCCCAGCAGGCTCTGTGTACAACCCTTCAAGGGCTAAAAAGCAGTGCCGTAATTTATAGAGAAAAAGCCTTGCAGGGCCACCTCTGACACCGAGGTCCCAGGACTTGTGGGACAAAGCCAACATCCATCTTCTGATGTGACATGCTCCTGTCAACAGTTGCCCTAACAGAAATAGAACACAAGAGTGACATAGCTGTCCCTCCTACTCCCCTGGCCGTCCCTCCTTCCCACGCGGCCTCCCTCCTCCCCCTGTGGCCCTGCTCTGTGTGGAGTGCTGCAGGGTTAGAGTGAGGGCTGGAGGGATGGGGCCGGGAAGCCTAGAAGGCAGGAGAAGGCAGAGCAAGAGGGCTGGGTGGGGGAGTAGTCAGAGGGCGGGGGGCTGGCACCAGCCTTCCGCCTCCCCCGGCCCCACAGCTCCCCCCGGTGTATTGGGATCACAGCCAGACAGCCCTGAAAGCCAGACACAGACAAAGACCCCAAAGCCCAGGGACTCCAAAGCCTTGCCCCACCCAAATTTAGAGCCCAGGGAGCCCTCAAGGGGGACCCCAGGCAGAGAGACTCTCTGAGGACAACAGCAAGACACCGTGACCCCAGAGCAGAATGTGAACATTTTAACCTTACAGGGTTGCTGTGAGGCCGAAGGAGACAAGGAAGGCGGCACCCCTGGGAATGCGCACAGAATTACAGGCTTCACGAGAGGGGCACGGCCAGCCGCGCCTTACAGACAGTGTCAGCCAGGCGCTTCCCTCCACGCGACCTCGCTGCCTCCTTGCAGGGCAGATGCCTCCGGGTCTCAGACTGTCCTGTGTCTCCCCGTGGGTCCTGGCATGGTAGACACTCAGCTGTTCAGGCTGGTTCCCCTCCGCCCCATCGCCCTACAGCAGTTGACCAGGTGTGTGTCCTCGGTGAGCTGTGGACAGCCAGCCTGTAGGTGAGGGCAGCGGGACCGTAAGAGGGAACATGTGAATGGCGCAGAAAGCAACGCTGTGGAAGCCTGGCTCGGGTGAGCGTGGAAGGGTGGGACGGGAGCTGTTTAATTTAGTCAAGGGCTCGAGCTGGTCCTTGCAGCTGTTGGGAAGCCCGAGTGGGGAACCAGGAAGGCCCCCCAGGCTGCAGCCTGCCACAGAGTCCCCTGCTTCTTCACTGCCTCTTGTCCCCAGGCCCTGTGCATTTCCTGCGTTTGCAGACCCTGGGTGTGCAGGTGCCAGACCAGCAGGTAGTAACCACCACGGTGAGAACAGCTCACCCAACAGGGCTTGCCGGCTGGGCCGCCCGCGCAGAAGCCCCCCAGTAACCCCTGAGCTCCCCAGCACCCCATCAGCCCCGGACCCATGATCTCCCGTTCCTCGGGTGGGGAGGGAGGCCCAGATGTGAGCCGGCCTAGCTCTGTTAGGCATGCATGGAGTGGGCCCCAACGTCTCCTCGTCATGCCAGCCTAGCTGACTCCTTGCTCGGGAACGCGGCCCCCCGAGGGGGTTCCAGCCTCCCACATGAAGGAGCAGGCCGGGAGCCCCTGACCTGCGAGGGTGGCTCTCCCAGGCCCTGTGTCAGAGGCACAGGGCAGCTTTGGGACCTACTGGTTCCGTAGGTCTGGCTGGGTCCCGGGCGTCGGAGTGTCGTTAGTTCTGTTTTGTGTTTTGCTGCTGCCCTGATGCTCCAGTGAGCAGCGTAGGTTGGAAAACTCTGCCCTACCCCTTTACCCTGCAGAGGTCCCCGGGCCAGCCTCGTGGCATCTGCCACCTGGCATTCCCTGGGAACCTCGGGCCCTACCCCTACTTGCCGAGTCGGAGCTGCACGACAGCACCCGGGCAGTTCAGGGTGGGTGGTGGCTCAAGGATCCCAGCTCAGGTCCCTGAGGAGCATCTCAGAGGCAGCTCAGAGCCTGGAGTCAAGGAGGGCCGCCCTCCCAGCTTAGGGTTCCAGAGCCGGTCTGGGGAGATGTAAGGAAGGCGGGGCTCTCCTCCCATGGGCATCTCCCAACAGCCAGCACCCTGACTCGTCCCTGCCCACTGGGTCCAGCCCTCCCGGCACTGGCCAGGAGCCCACCTGCTGGGACGCTGGCCTGAGTTCAAAGCCCAGCTGCAGCACTGCGCCCTCTGACGATCGGCACAGCCAATTCGCGTCTGACCTCGGCGTCCTCACCTATGCAGTGGGGTCGTGGTGCCGCCCGCTGCCTAGTGCTGCTGGGGAGGCCGAGAGGAGAGCACGCACTGTTCGCAGGCCGGGCCGGCCTGGGCAGGTGTCCTGCAGGTGCCACCCCACATTGCAAACTCACCACCCAGCACATGCACGAGCGGCTGAGCCGGGGCAGGGGCCCCTCACCGTCTCCCGGGACTCGTCCACGCAGAGCCAGCATGGGCCCTGACCATGGGCATACACTCCGGTCCCAGTCACGCTCTGCTGTGTGGAGGCCTCATCCCAGCTTCCTCGTTTCTAATTTGGAAATAGAGTTTGGACCTTTCCAAGTTTCAGTTCTGTCCAGAGCTGGCAGTCAGCTCCCTGGTTCAAAGGAAAGGCGCTCGTAAAGCCCCTCTGGGTTCCGAATGACTCCCTCCGAGGACGCTCCAGTGATTGCAGGCGGGTGGGAACAGATGGATGCGTCTCCTCTTCACGGGAGTCAGGAAAGGGAGCCACACTTGCCGTGGCCTCTTGGGCATGGCCTCTTGGCACGTTTTGCTAATGCCCTTCCTGGTCCCCCAGACCTCAAAGCGCTGGGGACTCAGTGCAGTGGGAAGAACATGCAGACTTGGGCCCAAGTGTGCGTGGACATGAGTCTTTGTGAGGCCTGCCCAGCCCTGGCTGCGGGGCCCCAGGTAGGCTGCTTGGTCTCGCAGGCTGTTCCCAAAGCTTCAGGCATGGACTGTAGCACCTGCTTCCCAGGGCAGCTGGGAAGGAGAATGTGGCTACAAAGCCTGGCACAGGGTGGCCCCGGGGCGACGGTCAGGAGTCAATGATGATTAGGCAAGACGGAGACACCTCCTCCATTTTTTTTTTTTTTTTTAGAGGTTTTTGCTATAGGGCGCGTGCGCTCGCCAGACAGACAGAGACAGAGAGACAGAAAGCAGGAAATCACCCCCCAGGGGGGGTGGCCACGCCGCAATCCCTTCTCCATTCTCTTCTCGGGATCTTGGGCACACACGCACACGCGCCCGGCGTGAGTTTAAGCCACCGGGTCCGGGACGCGAACCGCGGTCGACTACGTGGGAGTCCAGCGACATAGCCATTACGCTAACTGCTGGTCCCGAGACACCTCCTTCTGATCAGAGTGTTAGCCTGACAGCGGGTACAAACGGTCCGTGGTCAGCTGCGTGTTAACCTGACAGCGGGTACAAACGGTCCGTGCTCAGCTGCGTGTTAACCTGACGGCGAGTATAAATGGTCCGTGGTCAGCTGCGTGTTGACCTGGCGGGGCGGGTATAAACGGTCCGTGCTCAGCTGCATGTTAACCTGACGGCGGGTATAAATGGTCCGTGGTCAGCTGCGTGTTGACCTGGCGGGGCGGGTACAAACGGTCCGTGGTCAGCTCCGTGTTAATCTGGCGGGGCGGGTATAAACGGTCCGTGGTCAGCTGCGTGTTAACCTGACGGCGGGTATAAACGGTCCGTGGTCAGCTGCGTGTTAACCTGGCGGGGCGGGTATAAACGGTCCGTGGTCAGCTGCGTGTTAACCTG